TAAAATGTTTATTTTACTCTTGATGAAATAATTTGCAGTCATACAAATTTATATCATTCATTTTGGACCACAAATTTTAAAAGTCTTCATTTCTTTTTTAAACTCCGTGGTGAATCAAACTACCTCACATAAAATGAGACGGAGGAAGTAATATACATTGGGCCCGCGCTGGCGCGGGAACCTAATAACTAGTATGAATACAAATACAATGTGGAAAGGTATGATACAATGCATCTTTTTTCAGATTTCTTTGTTTCTTCTTGGACAATTTTAAAGATTTCGAAAGTTCAACACTTTCTTTTCTCTTGACACACTTTGACCCTTGATCTTGATTAAGTTGTTGCGTCGGTATAGGTCATTGCAAAATCTTTATTTACATCTCAATTGCCAAAAAAAAAAAAAAATATCCAAAGAATGAGCAATGTATTGTACACTTCTTATAACCCTTCTCTGCTCTGCCATTTAAGTATGAATTTAAGAAGTTCCTTTTGATAAATTACCGGATTGCCGTTATCACTGAACATTCCTTCCATGAGGTATTCATAATGTGATCGAATGTTTCTGGTTCTTCAATTCACAAACCATGAAGTACCTAAAGATTTGTGCTTGCGCTAACACTCGTGCATTCGGGTATATACCCCAAAACTAATATCCTTGATTCGATTGAGCAGGGTCGGTGTGAGCTTCACCTTAAAATTAGTAACTATGTTATGATTTGCATATACATGCATGTGCGGGGGTTTGATCGAGCAATCTAACACATAAAATTTGATTCCCTGCATACAGAAAATATAATAATATAAAACTACACTTATATTACATATTATCTACTTAAAAACTAATCAACATTTTAAGAATTTGGTAATAATCAAATACAAATCAAAAACATAATCTGAATCTCTGCATACAGAAAATCCAATGAACCTACATTTACATTAACTACTACTTAGACTAGCTAATCAACATTTGAAACACCATAGTCAAATAAAAATGGCAGTGACCCAAAATGCAATTGAAGTATCCAATCGCTTCTCGATCTCCATCGCAACAATAGAGTCCGAAATTTGTGCTTGCATTTGAGTGATACACAAATCAAACGAGGGTACTCCTTCCAAATATTTATCGAAATAATGTGTACCTCTTGTGACCCTCTTCGGAGTAGTGATTTCCGCCATTGTAATGGTGAAAAAAATCCTTCAACTTCAACCCTAAGAAGATAGTAGAAGCGAATATAAAACTATAACCTTCAATGAAAAAAGAGAAAATATGAAATTAGAAGATACCTAATGAATCTGAATCACAAACAACCTCCGAAAATCAAGTCAAAATTGTGAATTGTAAGAATTTTAGGGGGAAAGAGCCAGTGATTGTAAGGAGAATATTGAGAAATATCTGGTGATTTTGGGGAAGATTGAAAGAGAAGCTTTGAAAGTGG